TTGCCATCTCATGGTATAAACATTCAGAGTAGCCTTCTAATTTATGAGGTTGTTTTAATGTGAGAATCATAGTTTGCAATCATGAGCAATGTCCCAATTGAGTAAGTAATTGCATATTCATATGAGGCTCTCCATTGAGAACATGAATCTGTTTCTTACTTGGTGAATTGCCAAGTCAATGACCGTCATTATCAGAATACTAATGAACAGTATTACTGATTTGTGTTGATATTAAGATAAAGGAAATAGCTTGGAAATGTTACAAAGAATTAATAAGCCTCTAGATAAACTGAGGAAGGGGAATCTGGGAGGTTGACTACAGTAACAACTACTCAGCTGGGACTTGCTGTCAGTGCTGTTGTACAAGTACTAGCCCTTGATCAGAGAGAACTTCTGATACAGAAGGATACAGCACTTCACCAAGTACAAACTAATCAACAGTGGGAGAAACCATTATACATAGGAGGAGTGTACCAGTAAGGAATTCTGTAAAAGGCCCTTCCAGAATTGATTTGTTAACTGTGCAGTTTGCTCTCACCATTTGTACACCTAAGTGAACAGTTACCAGACACTGACCAGTAGTACAAAGCCATACTAAGGTAGGTTACTGGATTGGGATTCAGCCCACAGTTCTAAGCCAATATTAATGGGCTAATGTATGATGTTAAGCAATGCACCACCATGGTGTGTGCCATCAAGCAGGATTGATGAATTGATGGTAGAGGAGTACAGAAGCAAGTGGTAGATGAGATAAATGTTTGGACTTGCTCTTAGGGATGTTCCTTTTGTTGAATTTGCCAAGTGCACTCCCTCCCTCTTAGCTACATATAATACTTCTTAGAATCCTGGAAAATAGTAGAAGACTTGGTACACCATGGCACTTTCCAAGGCAATTCAAGATGCACAATAAGGCTCAAAAAGTAGGGAAAAAGCAAGGCAAGGGTATGTGTGTTAATGATTGCCACTGATCATCAAGCATGTGCTCTGTGAAACATGAGGGACCACATGGATGATAACCTGAAACACTAGTGTAGCCGTATGAAAACTCAGAAATAGTGTACAGCTTGATGAGCCACTCATAGATTGCCTGCCAGCTGGAATATTATCATCAATATTCTGAGCTAATAGTCACCCAGTCACAGCTTTCAGATCATCTGGTCACAAGGGGCCTAAGGAAAGTACTAGGAGCCTGGTAATAGTCCAGTCAGTACATACACAATCAAGTGCTACAAAGCATAACAATGTGGAAACAAAAGATCACCTGAATGTGGTGAGAAGGCATTGTGAATACTACAGTGAAGTCCAATAAAGGAAATGAAATAAAGATAACAAAGTGCAGGAATGATAACAACTGCTGCTCATCCTATTCAAAGACCACACATGTGAAATTTCTTGGAAAAAAGGATTTTCATTACCTTGTCCCTAACAACAGTCTGCATGCTAAGACTTGCACATGGGGTCATTGATGGGTATTCTAGTAATGGTCATAATCAATAGTCATGCTCTCTGGTCATAAGTCTGAAGATTTCTACATCATCAGACACACTCCCAAGATAATCAATCACCAGTGTCATTTTCTGGCTGACTGTTTGTTATTATGTGTGCACATAAAATGGTACTATATTTGGATGAGACACCATATTTTTCATGTTGACATTCCTCTGGCATGGCAGATACCATCCATCAACTGCCAAATTGGATGCTAGTAGGTAGGCACACTGCCACATATTTCCAATGCTGTTCAAATATCACACATGTTCACACCCTGGTCCAAAGTGTCATTTTTCCACTTTCCATATAAAATAAAAGGGCCCAGCATGAGTAAATAACATTTTATAATCACATGTAAAAAGATACAGTTGCAGCAAATGAGAGTACTGCCCAAGTCATATTATCGACTGGAGATCTATAAAAGGACAGCTTATATTGGCTCATAAGTCCATTGTAGTTCTTCACTGTTGCTTAGTAAGCAATGCAAGTCGACGCTATTTCCAGAGCAACCATGGCTTCTTCTGAGCCCCATCAGGACGAAATCACAGCATACACTGCAATATGAGTGCTAGTAGACATTGCACAAACAGACACCATTGTCAATACATTCTATATGAACAAGCCAAGAGCTGCCTACTCTATCTCCACATACCAAGGGCCATTGCATGAGAATAGGATGATGGTAGTGCATACAGAGGTTAGATATGCTCCAGGAAAAAATCATATGAGGAATTAACAACTAAGCATAGCACCATCATACTGTATGATTGGCACTGCTTCATATTGACAAGACTAGTCAAAGACATGCTTATACTGGACTGGTACAATAGAGCTGCTGACATCAGGCTATATGCATGAACTCTGCATTAGCAAATCTGAGATGTACTGTCTGTCATGCATGAGCCTACAACAGTCAGCACAATATCAAGTCATGGGATTGTCTGATTTCATCTTATTTCCTACTATTTATCTAGCATTGCAGAGACCATCAAAGACTTTAATATACTATGTGTGGTAATGTGGTGGCCCCACTTCATGACATTGCTAGACTATAGATTTTCTAGCAACAGTAGTAAATGCACAACACAACTTGTACAATGTCTTTGTATCACTTTCTAGGAGCAGTACAGTATGAAAAAGCTCTGTGAACCATAATATTTCACATGTGACATTAACTGTGGCCTTTGTGCCACAGGTGTTCACCATTTTCTGCATATGTCATTGCCTGTCCAAGGGTTTACACAGAAGCCAATCAATACTTACAGCAAGCAGTATAAGGTGAGTGGAATCATACAGAATATTCTCTTGTTTTATCCGCATTTTCTGAGCCCAGACATAGCAGGTAACTCAGACTTTCCATTTTTGGAAGGTTAGTTACCAGATATGGCATGTTTCACATCTCATATAGCCACACAATTCACAGGCAGTTGGTAAGCATCACAGGAAGCATAAACAATGTGATAGAACCAGTGTGCAGAGGCATATGTATTTGCTTTTGCTTTGTGAATGGTGCCATATTTATATGAATCTATGGGAAGGCATAATATGTACTGCCTCTGACATCATATACATGACTGGGAATATTACCAATTGTTTTTGAATTTTTGGGAGACCATAGCACAGCAAATACAGTGTCGCTGATGAGCTTGTGGCTTGCATTAAAACTCAGCCCAACAGCTTGGCAGTCTGCCTTTCTGGGGCCCACAGTTGAACTAAACAGAACATCCTAGGATCCTCTCTGGAATTGCTAGTCCCTGAGAATTTCAGGTGATAGTGGTGCTTAGTGCATAGTGTGGGTGTACCCATGGGTGTCTCAGAGCATACCCATACCCATACCCACATGGGTTGCATACCCATGCCATGGGTATGGGTTTTGCACGGGTATTATGGGTACCCATGGGTATGGGTAATGTTATGGGTAGTCCTATGTGCAGTTCATGCTTAATGGCTTGCAAGATATGATGACACTTATTGTGCAGAGGCCAGACTATCAGTCAGGCACTGTACAGTTGGTGAATTCTCATCATAAATTGATGCTATGTGCAAGACCAAGGATGAGCACCCCTCAGACCAGTTCACTGACTGTGTGGTCAATCACAACAGTGGGAGCTTCCAGTTTTTGTCCCACATACATGCAAGAACAATAGAAAGAGGAGTGGGTATGGGAGGGGTCAAAGCAAGGTTCCAAGTGTATCAAAGTCAAACATAGCAACACACAGGGGTGTACCCTTTTCCAAGTTGTAGACTTGTAGTGTTGTTGGCATGTCATGCTCACTTTTCAAACTGCAATAGAATGGGCAAGTGTGTTGCCTGAAGTAATAACTGAATGGTAGGTAATACAGGATATGCAAAGATGAAGGGGAAAACAATGTAAACAAGGCACAAGGATCACGGAAGCAAGGTATGTATTACAACTCATAACTCTGGTGGTTATACAAGTGTGCCATAACAGTACAAATAGCTATGCAGGTCCACAAGAACTGAGGATTGAAACTAGCAAGGTTGTATACATCAATAGATCTTACATATTTTACCAGATATGAACAGTGAGGCAATGGGCAGAGCCTTATAACATGTGCTGTTTACATATAGCAGTATCACAGGTCAACAGTCAGCAGATGAATATACCTCAGACTCAACAACTACAAAACTGAATCACAGGAAAGATGTAGCAGCAATCATGCTGATTTCTTTTCCATCAGGATCCCTTGTCACAGGTGACTAACTAAGCATTACACAGTATTACCAGCTGTCTAATAAGGACAGCTTTAAAGTAAGTAGGATTCAGTATGGTCACATTGTTTGGTAGAGCATTCCAGCTACACCATACTGACAAACACATGGCACTGCAGTAGCCATCATTGTGCATTGAAAAGGTTAGTTGAGCTTTCTCCTAATTCTTCATTTGAGCCACAACAGCACATACACTGCAATGCACATTAGATATTTCATTTACTTATTTGATGGCCTCAGCAATCTGTGTATTTTATTATAGCATATCAATATTGGCAAAAGCCATGTCATGCATGGTCAATGAGTCTTGAGGGAAATGATTGCTGACTTTACCATACTGCCACTATTGCAAAATACTTTCAAGCAAGCTTCAGAAAGGTGATACCCTAAATGCTAGCATACTATGAGAGTGACACAACACTGAATACCTGGCTAGGAATTAACATTGATTACTGCCAGTGGATAAGCACTGCAGAAGTCCATGGGTTTCATGGGTACATGGGTCAGATTTTGGCTACCCATACCCATGCCCATGCATACCCATACCCATGACCCACATGGGTTATCCATACCCATGCAATGCACTAGTGGTGCTTACAAGATGGACCAAGATCACTGAAAGAGTGGCTTGTATCAGGCTATGCATGGGTCATTCTGCATTATTATATGTTTTCTGCCATATTGGAGCCTCAACAGTCAACTCAATATGAATCCATAGTACCATCTGATTTTGTTCTGATTTTTCTGCTATTTATTCAGTCCTGCAGAGGCCATGCATGGCCAACTTCCCAAATGGGCAGGGGACTAACCAGATATGGCAGTTTTGTATGTTCAATATCCCCCACTCTCATACATGTAAGAACTGTCTAGTACAAGCATCATATACACACCAAGATTTGCCTATATCCCCCAGTATCACTTGCCAAGGCCAGTACTCTGTGAAAAACAACAAGAACACCTATTCTGGGCACCCCTGTCAGTACCCAAGGGGCATCCCATGGAGAAGCAATATTTTGGGATTTTTCGCAGTTAATGGGGCTCTCAGTTAGTGCTGCTCGAAGCCATCAAAAAACTCGGCATGAAGAGCTGAGACTAAAATATTACTTTAAAAAGGAATATTTGTCAGCATTCCAGCCAATGAGAGTGCTCCAAAATCCCTTTTGAGTGACCGGAGTCGTCGACAGGCCGGAATTCCGGCCTGTCGACGACTCCGCTTCGGCAGTGGGCGCCTAACTGAGCGCTTAGTAAGCGATGTAAGTGCACACTGTTACTGCAGCAAAACTGGCTTGTTTTGGGCTCAGAAAAGTGCAGCAAAATCGGATAATATTCCAGGAGATATGTGGAGCATCTCTGAGCATATTGACAAGTAGAGAGACCTCCCATATATGGTCATTTAGTACTGGGACACTAACATATGCATGTTATGACAATATTTCTCCATTAATAGCACTGCTGTGCATGTTCCAGAATCATCAATGTGTTGGAAGCAATGTACATGGCCATACAAGTTATATGGCATGTGTTTCAGATGCAACAGAACAAATTCATATTCACACAGAGTCACCACTGTTTTTTATATTAGCATTTTGCTACTCATTCAACCACTTCTCTCAGGAAACTATCATAGACACTCTGATTGAAGGTCAATTGGGTGAGCTTACTATCTCTAAACCAGTTGATCATACTTCAGTCATTGTATCACAGTCAAATGCCACCAAATCATGTCTGCAGAGGTATGTGTGTTTCTCTGTTGTCTGAATTGTGAATATCAGCAAGTCCTTCAAATCATAGCCACTGGGGGTGATATATTGGATTGATGTCTTACATACAGCAGGTAGTACAAGTGATTCCAGTTGCACAGAATATTCCCTGGTTTTATCTACATTTTCTGAGCCCAGACTGAGCAGCTGCATGGAAATTACCATTTGAGGAAGGTTAGCTACCCTTTATGGCAAGTTTCAGATGTCATAAAGACATACAGAATCTATGGGCAGTCTGCAGGCATCAAAAGAGTCACTTTGAGGGTGAAAAGAAATGCACTGACATGCACAGAGGCACGTGTGTATTTTTTGTTTTTGTTTTGTGCCATAACCACTGCAGTTGATGGGCAAGACACAGCAGCTATATACTCTATGACATCATACCTATCCTAGAGAATATTTGGGGGATTTTCCGCATTTTATTGAGGTCACAGTGCAGGAGATACAGTGCCACTAAGGAGCCTGTGGCTGGGATCAAACTCAGCTCAAAACCTCGGCAGCCTGCCTGATTAGGGTAGAAAAGGGGCTTGTTGCACCAATCAGAGCAGCTCGGCATGCCGTTCGGAGGTGCATCCGTGCGGAATTTTGGCATGGTTGCACCTCCGAACGGCATCTGGGCGCTAAACGAGCGCTCAGTAAGCGATGTAAGAGCGGACTGTTACTGCACTTAAATGGGCTTGTTTAGACCCAGGAAAAAGTGGAAAAATGAGAGAATATTTGAAATGGCCCAGGCAATATGATTGAGATTGAAGCTGTCTATGCCATGAGTTTGACATCAGATAAGATATCATTCTCAATAACCTGGTAAGATTTGCTGTTACCTCAGTGAGGTGATTTATATAGGTCTTCTACTTCACATTAGGAACTACTCATGTAGTGGACATCCCCATAAGATGATAGTGTAAGTACAGATGCATATATGTATACCTAGTCTGTGTCTATGTGCAAGAGAAAGCCAGTGGCTGGATAATTGCCATATGGAGTATGTGACCTTCCCAAAGAAGAATCCAACACAAACAGGGACATGTAGGGCTCAGAGAAATGCAGAAAATCTATGAAATATACAGATACATCAAAGACAAGTGTATGATTGCCTTGAGCTGCAATGGTTACCATTACATTGTATGCAAGGGCCATAAGATGGCAAAAGATGCTCAGATTACCCATTATAGTCCTTGTTACCTGTATTATTGAAGCTACTGAGCAGTCCACAGTGTCTAAACCACACATATACATTACAGTGTACACATAGACCATATTTGAGTCATAAACAAGCACTTTGAATCTGCAGAGGCACATGTGCATTTTTTTATTTGCATTTCCTGGGTGAACCAGTGACTGTATATACTCAATAGAATTTCTGTATACTCACTGAATGAAGGGCTATCAGATGAGCATACTATGTATACTATGATTTGTTAGTAGCTGAGACTATGTAGGCCCTACAGTGTGTGAGCGCTTGCGGCATTGAGCCACCAAGCTGCCAGTCACATGATATGTTTACCAGTTTCCTTATTGGGGGAACTGCTAAGGTGTTTCATGGGCCTCATATCCATAACTGAGCGCTTAGCCACTGCATTTGTTTGTATCTGTTGGTCCAAGTCGCGTCGTCTGGGAGTCTGAAATTTCAGACTCAGATAAGCAACCCATACTAACAGTTACTTATCTCTGCTTATTGGGGTGGCTGCAAGTCACGTGCACTGTGGGAACAAACTGCCATTCCGGAGGAATCACTAAGGTGTTTCATGGTGGTCCATCATAAGAACAATACCTTCGTACCTCAGGGATCGTAAAGTTATGCAATGAGCCTTGGGTGATATAATTGGCAGCTCTTGGCTTGTTCATATGGGCAGGGAATGATTGTACCATGTATTGATGATGTCTATTTGTACAATGTCTACTGTCACTCAGACTGCCACTAGGCAACCAGCAACAGACCATACTTATAGTGGACTTCTAGGCAAATATCTGACTGTCCTTTTCTAGATCTCAAGTCAATAATAAGCGACTTTGGATCACTCTCATTGGCAGCAGCATTTCCCTTCACATGCTAGCATAGAATGTCAGCTACTCATGCTGGATTCTTTGATGGTATATGGAAAGTCACACAATAACACCATAGACACAGGAGTGAACACGTGTGCCATTTTAACAGTGTTGTATATATCATGGGAGGGTCCAAGAAGCAGGTATTATTACACATGGTGCATTGTGGTAATATCTGGTGGAGTACCTGCCATTCCAAATAAACAGTAGAGAATCTGTATATATTGAGAGGGTGGTTGAACAAGAGCAATATGGTGGTGAATTGTGCATGCATACAAAAGAAGTAAGTGTCAGCCAGCAGATGAAGCCAAAAGTTATCTCACAAAGGTTGAAAACCTTTATGTTCATGGGATTTATGCCTGGATACCATGACCATTGAGTAGGCATTACTGGAATACTGAGCAAATGCAATAATGATTCCATGTGGAAGTCTCAGTATAAGTATGTGCACTTCACAGACAGTTTCCTATAAATATAGCAATGACACACAACACATAGTAGCTTACTTTCTCAATTGTAATATTGCTCATGATGGAGCACTGAAATCAACAATGTAGATAACCAGGATGCATAGAGTATTTGGGCTGTCAAGCAGCAACTAGACAGTGAAAATGGGCAATAATGAATTCTTCAACCTCAATGTGTCTAAACCAATGGGATCGTACTGCCAGCCATGGCCCTCTCCCCAGCAAGTGGAAGGTGGTCAACTGGGTTTACCACAGGGACACTGTAATCGTACGTGCCCTGCTCAGTGAGGAAGGTTGTGTTGTGGAAGAGGTACCGGCAGCGGTGGGAGATACTGACTCTGAGGGCAATATCTGAAGTTCTAGGTAGTATCATATGCATGGTGTTCAAGTTGAGTCCGTTGCACTACACATGTTCAATAGAATTACAATGGTATCCACTGCATTTTATGCCAAGCTCCCGCCTCTCTGTCCGCCCAATATCCTCTCCAGTTCCCCCTTTCTGCACATGGACCAGGCCCGGCTTGGGCGCCTAAGTGTGGGAAGTTGAGAAGGGTTGCGGTGACTTTTCCACTTCTCCTCCCAAATCACACTTGGCCTTGCTTTTCTGTGCTGTTTCCTCCTCACTTTCAGCTGCTATGCCACCCACCGCTACCCATGTTGACTCACACCTTGTCAAGATCCTTGGGAGACTGCTGCGTTGAAGATGCATGGAGCAAGTCGCGCGAGTGCACTGCGTGCCCTGCGCTGGATCATGTCTCAGTGATATGCCTGGAAAAGGACCACTTCAGTGAGATATTTGATTATGTGAGTGCCTGGCACCGAGTTCAAGATTTGTAGGACACGGTGTCTGACGCATCTCTAGTGTATGTTGCTCGACACAGAACTCTGCGCCATGGAGTCCAGCTCGGCGCAGGCAAGCCCTGATGTTCTTGCAACTGCCCTCCAGCAGGTGTTGGAGTTGAGGAACCCGCCTGCCAAGTTTGGGGGTTCCTCCTCATGGGGGCCATCCGCAATTTCTATGAGATAAGCACAAGCAGGCCACTGCTAGACCAGCAAGAGGAGGGGCGCACCGTGCTCGTTGAGGCCGTGATTTACGTTGATGTGAGTCACATTGACTGCCATTCTCTGACCTGATACTGATGTGAAAATAGGACACATCCCCTGCCATTCACATCCCCCTGTTAGGGGGGCTGGACTGGACACAAGCCAACGGCACCATACGCGGGCCGTACGAGCAGCCCACACTCTCGCAGGTCTTCCCGCACTTCAATCCCTACAAAAAGGAAAGGAAGCCGGGGCCACACCCCAAGCTCAACATCTATATGCCTGACATGCAGAGCTTTGTCCCGTCGACTTTGATCCACAATACTTTCCCCATCCACTTCTCACCGCGGCCGCTCAGATCCCTCCCCATCCTCAAGGTCCGTGGTGTCCAGGTGACCAAGGACCTATTTGACTATGCCAACGGGAAGGTGGACATGGAGGCGATGTGTTTGATGAAGCACTCCTTCATCGAGTTCAACTGAGTGTGGCCAGTTGACATCCCATACCCGCGCAAGGTGCTGGACGTGGAATGGAGTGTCTTTCGGGTGCCTGACAGCATAGACAAGAACAGGGAGACCAAGTACACAAACATTGCGGTGAGCCCGCCACCTGGGGCCGCTGGGTGCCTGGTCTGCTGGGTGTTGGTTGGTAGACGGGGCCGACGAAGACGAGGCGACCGAGTCCGACGTGAACGGCAGGATGGCCGAGGACATCGCAATGGACCTTGATCCAGCCTGGGAGCATGACTATGTGGGGTACGGTTGAGTCTGACCCGTCTACCAGTAGCACAAGGAACCATCTCTCGTAATGTTGTACTTCTAGTATCTCCGTGGTCCGCTCATTTTTCTTGTTTCGTGTCATTATGATACTCAGTAAATGCACTCAAACACATTCATCCCTACCACCGTGAAAGGCACGCAAATTCTGTTCCGCCTTCCCTTCCCCCTCCAACACATCCCCGTCTTCAAGGAGTCTTCAGTGACAGTGGCTTGCCATGTGGAAGGGTACAGCTTCAGTACCCAATGCATCTACCTCTTCAACTCCATGAAGATGATGTTCATGCCAGTGGATTTCGACATTGTCTGGCCCATGGACATCCTGCAAGGCCGCAAGTATCTGCACACCAAATGACGTGTTGAGTGTTGGGGCGCCCCTGAGGGCATAGTGGCCATACGGCCTCTCATTGGCAATGACGGCTGCGAGGTGAGACAGGTTGGCGGTCCCATTCCCGAGGAGGTGGTTGCAGGGCATGATGTTGGAGAGATCAATGCACCGGGGACAGAAGACAATTCTGAGGTGGAAATATGGGAGATTATGGAGGACGGTAATATTCCCATTGTTCCTGAGGTTTGGGAAGTCGTGCGGGGCACCAGTGAGGAAATACCATACTATGTGTAGTACATTTGATGTATGATACATGCCTTGGTTCTGTTTTGTAATTGTACTCCGAGTCCTACATGTAAAATTTGAATGTGATGTTGTCTGTGAATTGCCCTGGCAGTCATAGTGGGAAAATAATTGCGTTGTGGGGCCTTGACCCAGGATGCGCTCCAGACTTTGAATTGCACTGAATAATTAGCACTTCTCTCAAGTGATAAATTGGTCGGTCTGACGGGTTGCTACCTTACTAGCAGTGCTCAGGAGTGCTTTTGCGCATGCAAAATTGGTCAAACTGCTTGCAAGTGCTCTGTGACTGCTTTTCCGTTGCAAGCACTACTTTTGCAAAAGCTCAACCACTTGCGGACACAAGGGGTTTTTCCTGATGATAGTGGTATCCCAATGGTGGGCAGTGCACAGTGTCATTGGTGAGCCAGTCTGGAATCCATACCCTCACATAGTATGGCTGATGGTGACATACTGCTGTCCTGGCAATGTCATGGAGACACATTTGGGTGATGCACTGTTCCTATGGCCTCCTGAGGTATGCTGTCTGTTCCATTTCAGTGTATGTGCTGACAATTGCAGCCTAGGACTGGGCAGGTATGGGACATAGATGCCAGGTTTGGAGTGGTTTGTGCAGAGTGTCCCTTGAATGAGAAGGGGATTAGGCCCATTGCACAGCCAGTCATGGATGCACAGCTCGAGGGTGCCTTCAACAAAATGAAAACCAGATATGACTGCTTCAGGTGGATACATGTGGCAGTGCAAAGCTGCTTGCATTCCTTGTGCTGCCTGACCATGGCAGCGGCAATAGTGAGGGCTTGAGCGCACCATAGTGTCACAGCAAATGGCTCCAGTTTCAGCCACTGCCAGCCCACTGGCATTGTGCAGCCAACAGCAGCAGTGCGGATGATGCACCAATGACAGTGGATGAGCCAGAGCATGCACTGGGTGTTACAATCCCTGAGGTACGAAGGTATTGTTCTTATGATGGACCACCATGAAACACCTTAGTGATTCCTCCGGAATGGCAGTTTGTTCCCACAGTGCACGTGACTTGCAGCCACCCCAATAAGCAGAGATAAGTAACTGTTAGTATGGGTTGCTTATCTGAGCCTGAATTTTCAGACTCCCAGACGACACAACTTGCACCAACAGATATAGGCTAGCAATGTCATAAGGTGGGGCCACCACACTACCACACATAGTATATCAAAGTCTGATGGTCTCTGCAATGCTAGATAAATGGTAGGAAATAAGATAAAATCAGACAATCCCATGACTTCACATTGTGCTGACTGTTGTAGGCCAATGCAAGACAGTACATCTCACATGTGCTAATGCGGATGCACATAGCCTGATGTCAGCAGCTCTATTGTAGCAGTCCAGTATAAGCATGTCTTTGACTAATCTTGTCAATATGACTAAGCGCCCGTCACTCACCAAATCTTCTAATCTTGTCAATATGAAGCAGTGCCATTTATATAGTATGATGGTGCTATGCTTGGTTGTCAGTCCCTCAGATTGTTTTTGCCTGGAACATATCTAACCTCTGTATGCACTACCATCATCCTATTCTCATGCAATGGCCCTTGGTATGTGGGGATAGAAAAGGCAGCTTTCTTTCTGATTGCGCTCAGAAGAAGTCATGGTTGCTCTGGAAATAATGCAGACTTGCATTGCTTACTAAGCAACAGTGAAGAGGCCATACTACAATGGACTTCTGAGCCAATATAAGGCTGTCCTTTTATAGCTCTCTAGTCAGTAATATGTTGAGCTCGGAATTTATTCCGCATTTCTGCGAATTATTCTGAGCTCCATTGCCCTGTCCAAGTCGTGGAATGCGTCCTGGTGTGTTCTCCTTTATTCTACATGGACGCCATCACTATACCGTGCATACTGTACGTTTTCCGACGTCATTCCCTTCAGTCTACCATTTTCCATAATGTTTGCATCTTCAGGGATTTGAACCCCTGCACTCATCCGGTTTTTCACTGCTTCGTTGATTTCGACTTTGTGGCTGTTTCTACTGTACAGTTATGGTCACCTTACGTAACGCACACCGTAGACAGTCCGCCTCGTCGAGCTCTAAGTCCCTAAGACTTTACAGAGCTCGACTTAGGTGTGTATCTTCGCTTTCTTGAATAAAAGACTTTACAGAGCTCGACTTAGGCCTTTGGAATTCGCTCTGAGGCGCACTGCAGCCAACAGGTTATGAGCCCCGCGCTCTGAAGGCCTCCAGACGTCCATATCCGCCTGTCCAAACGCTCTGTGGCCCTCCCAAGGTGTCCCCCTTCGCTCTTTCAGCCTTCCTGCGCTTTTAAGCCCCTATCTTCGCCCCTATTCGATCTTTGGTCGATATCTCGCTCGTCTCTGCGCCGTTTTACCCCGTTCTTCGCTCGATCCATCCATCCGCACGTCGCCCTTCGAGTCGTCATCATGGCGCCGTCCCCTGCTTCCTTCCCAAAGCTCACCAATCGCAACTATCAGCAATGGAGGCTTGACATGGAGGCTAGACTTCGCACTCTTGCAGCTCTTCGCATTGTGAAGGGCTCAGAGACCAGGCCTTCGTTTACTCAGCCCCTGGACGCCTCAGAACGCCGAGATATGCGCGATTTCGAGAACAGGAGGGACCTGGCAGCTGGGGAGATCTGGGGGTGTGTGGAGAGGAGCAGCAGACACATCTGGAGGCGATTAGGGACGATCCTGAGGCGATGTGGTTGAAGCTGGAGTCTGTGCACATGCAGAAACGACCTGGTACGCGTTTTAACACCTACAACGCGCTCCTGAGCCTCTCCAAGGCCGAGGACGAGTCCCTGTCGACGCTTTCGACGCGAGCTTCGCAGCTCAAGTCCGATATGAAAGCCCTTCGTCCCCAGGACTTCGACATCGCTAAACTCGACGATGAGCTCGTCCTGATGGCTTTAATCCGCGCCCTGCCTGCCGAATTCGCTTCTCTTCGCCAGACCCTCTTGCTGGACGACGCCCTCACGCTTGAGAAGCTCCAGGACACGTTTGTCGCCCTCGAAAATCAGCCTGGTGTGTTATCGACGATCCCTGTCCTCTCCCAGGTCGCTGCCGCCATCATCTGCGCTTTCTGCGGTCGCTCTGGCCACTCCGAGGAGCAGTGCTTCTCCAAACCGATGCTAGTGTCAAAGCGAAGGAGAAGGCGTCGCAGCGCACGCAGTTTCGCTCTGGAAAGGGCAAGGACAAGACGAGGGAGGCGAAGGAGGCGTCAAAACCGTCCAGGATGCGCAGGATGCGTCCCAGGAGTCCGCTGGAGCGGCCACTGTGAGTGCTGGTTGCGCCTCTGCCCTCCTATCCACCTCGGATCGGCCTCCTGGCTTTCTACGCCTGCAGCAGCTAACTGGAACACCGACACAGGTGCTTCTGCACACATGACGCCTCACCGCCATTGGTTTCGCTCCTACTCTCCCCATTCCATCCCCATTCGCCTCGCCAACTCGCACGTCGTCTATTCGGCTGGACTAGGGTCTGTGGTCTTTCAACCTGCGGAGAGGGACGGAGTTTTACCGCCAGCTGTTGTACTGCACGACGTCCTTCATGTCCCTGCGCTTGCCAGCAATTTATTGTCCGTTTTTCACCTCACACGCGAGAAGGGCTACGTCGTCGAGCTGCAGGCTGCGAACGCGTTTTTCTACCAGGACGGAGAACTCCGCTTCGAGGCGCGAGTTAACGAGCACAACATAGGCTACCTGCTAGGCCAGACTGTGTCTCAAACGAAGAATGCGTCGTCCGCTTCGACGACTTGCGATCTGGACCTCGCGCTTTGGCACCAGCGTTGCTCGCACGTCAACCTCGACGACCTCCGAATGGCGCACTCGAAGGAGCTTGTTTCCGGCCTCACCATCCGCTCGAAGCGTACGCCTGATCCCATCTGCGAGCCTTGCCTAGCTGGTAAGCTGCATCGACACTCTATCCCTCGTTTTGCGTCCAGAAAATTCGTCCGCATCGCCCTCGTCCACACCGACCTTAAGGGCCCTCTCCCGACGCCTACGCCGGAAGGGCACATTTATTGGATGACGTTTATCTGCGACTCTTCGAGGTTTGGGTTGTGGCCTTCCTGAAGCGCAAAAGCGAC